AGTCCAAGATTAGGCATACTTCAAGTCCATCAGTGAGCCTGCCGCAGAGCGATTCCAACCAACACTGTAAGTAAGCTATATATTTTTCTTGGCTTTCCATGTTTACCAACTAAATCCTTTAAAATGTCTATTACTTAGATTTCTAACCTATCCAACAAAATTATCAATCGTGCATTCAAGATCTGTAGGTAAACAAAATAAAAGAGACTTTTCACCACAAATCTCATCTAGCCATCACAAATCATAGCATCAGAATAAGATAACAAAGTTTAACAAAGTGACAAAACAAAAGAAATTAAAGCATTACAGCAGCAGCTCACCATGGCAATCCTGAAAAGCAAAGACTTGTCAGTGTAGAAGAGGTGTGTGAAACCCTCTCTGCCTGATCTTCCTACTCTTCCTCGCGACTGCAGATGAAAAGAAAAGCGGTGAACTTGAGGTCCAGATCTCAGATTCATACATCCAATTTTTTTGTAAAAAAAGGCAAAGTAAAAATCTGAGAACTAAAACCAACTGATACAGCTGAGGGAGCCCAAATAGTTCTGCATACAAGAATCTTTATTTCCCCATAAGAGAACTTCTTCATACCAAGTTGTATATTCTTTGACACTTTCAGTGGGAAAAATATTTAGCAAGAGTTCTAACATCAAATGTAGGTGCAGTCCATAGATAGGCTAATTAACTACCTGGAATACCTAGCAATTTAAAATATATGCTTGAATGAAGCCGCAGAATGAGACAAAAAAGGGAGACCAGAGTGAGAGGGGGGAGAGAGGAGGTGGAGGCAAACCTGAACCGCCTCGGCATCCTTGCTCCTGCTCCTGCTATGCCAGGAAGGAGAGGGTTGCGGGGCGCAGGAGATGCATGGAGTATGCCAGGAAGGAGAGGGTTGCGGGGCGCAGGAGATGCATGGAGTCGCCATTGTGCACAAGTTGCAGGTGTCACCGCCCACCTTCTGAGGCCTCTGCAGGCCGCACGAGCCCCCGCACCACCGCACTGCACATGCTCCTCAAGGAAGAAGCGGAGTGCCGCCAAACTAACTCTCATAATCCACCATAAAATTTGATTCAAGATCACAGTCGGCTAACTAAATCCAAATTATTCCAAATTTATTAAAGATTCATTTATCCACCAATATAATAATCACCATGCGCATCTATTAGACCTAAAATCTCATAATCCACCAGACATCTTTGACTATCTTCTCAAAACACAATCACCTAAATAAACACAACTAAAATCTCATAAATCACGGAGAAATTTGGGTCAATATCACAATCACCTAACTAAATGCAAATTGTCCAAAATTAAATATTTATCCACCAATATAATAACCAACATGCTCACCTACTAGACTAAATTCGCATAATCCACCTAACATCTTTTACTAGCTCATCAAGATCCAATCACCTAACTAAATCCAACCAAAACCTCGTAATCCACAGTAAAATTTGGTCAAAAGATCACAACCACCTAACTAAATCCAAATTGTTCCAAACTAAATTAAATATATGTTTATCCACCAATATAGTAATCACCATGCTCATCCACTAGACCTAAAATCTCATAATCCACCAAACACATTTGATTATCATCTCAAGACACAATTACCTAACTAAATCCAACTAAAATCCGATAAATCATAGAGAAATTTGGTTCAATATCACAATCACCTAACTATATCCAAATTGTTCAAGATTAATTTATCCACCGAACATCTCTGACTATCTCCTCAAGATCACAATCAACTAAATCCATTGCAAATCTCCACCATGAAATTTGTACTAGATCACAATTGCCTAACTAAATCAAATTGCTCCATGTTTCTAAAGACTCATTTATCCACCAATATAATAATCAACATGCTCACATACTAGACCTAAATTCACATAATCCACCGTAAATCTTTTACTAGCTCGCCAAAATCACAATCACCTAATAAATCCAACCAAAACCTTACAATCCACCATAAAATTCAGTTAAAGGATCACAATCACCTAACTAAATCCAAATTGCAACCAAATTAAATATCAGTTTATTTGTTTATCCACCAATATAATAATCACTATGCTCATCTATTAGACCCAAAATCTCATAATCCACCAAACATATTTGACTATCTTCTCAAGACACAATCACCCCAACTAAAATCTCATAAATCAAAGAAATTTGGTTCAATATCACAATCACCTAACTAAATCTAAATTGTTCCAAACTAAATTAAATATTTGTTTATCCACCAATATAATAATTGTCATACTCATCTACTAAACCTAATCTCATAATCCACCGAACATCCTTGACTATCTTCTGAAGACACAATCATCTAACTAAATCCAACTAAGATATCATAAATCACCAAAACATTTGGTTCAATATCGCAATCACCTAACTAAATCAAAAGTGTTCGAGATTTAATTAATCCACCGAACATCTTTGACATCCCCCAAGATCACAATCTACTAACCGAATTTATTGAAAATCTTGTAATCGACCGTGAAATTTGTTCACAATCGCCTAACTACATCCAAATTGCTTCATTTTTACGGAAGATCCATCTATCCACCAATATAATTACCACAATGCTCACTTACTAGACCTAAATTAACATAATTCACCAAACATATTTGACTATCTTGTCAAGATCAGTCACCTAACTAAATCCAAAAAAATCTCAAAATCAATCGTAAATTTGGTTGAAAAATAAAAATCACCTAAATGAGTCAAAATTGTTCCAAACTAAATTAAAGATTTGTTTATCTACCAATATAATAATCACCATTCTCATCTACTAAACCTAAAATCTCATAGACTAGCAAACATCTTTGACAATATTCTCAAGACACAATCACCTAACTAAATCCACATACAATCTCATAATCTAGCGTGAAATTCAATTCAGTATCGCAACCACTTAACTAAATCCAAATTGTTCAAGATTTTTAATTAATCCACCAAACATCTTTGACTATCTCTTGAAGATCAGAATCAACTAACTAATCCATCAAAAATCTCATAATCCACCATGAAATTTGGTTCACAAGGACACAGTCGTCTAACTAAATCCAAATTGTTCGAAATTTATTAAAGATTTATTTATCCGCCAATATAATAATCAACATGCTCGCCTACTAGACCTAAATTCACAATAGTTCACCGAACATCTTTTACTAGCTCGTCAAAATCACATTCACCTAACTATATAATAATCACCATGCTCATCTACTAGACCTAAAATCTCATAATCCACGAAACATCTTTGATTATCATCTCAAGACACAATCACCTAATTAAATCCATATTATTCAAGATTAATTAATATACCGAACATCTTTGACTATCTCCTCAAGATCACAATCAACTAAATCCATTGAAGAATCTCGTAATTCACCATGAAATTTGTTCAAGATCACAATCGCCTAAGTAAATCCAAATTGCTCCATGTTTACTAAAGTCACTACTTCCTTAAGATTGAGGTTTCTTCGAGCTTTAATGGCTTCTTTATTTCCTAAGAGGAGTATATCCAGGACCTTCTTGCTCGTGCTGCTCTTACTGATGAGCACACACTTGAGACTACTATGGAGCTCAACATCCACATTTGTGTCCATCTCCACTCCCTGTAAGTCCGGATGGGCGTCCGTTGCCTGGTGGCGGGTTGCTATGTGTGCTGTCTTGATCCCACATCCCGTGTTCCCTTGCTGGGCGACACAATGGCGAGCAACAGCTCAGACAATCGACGCATACCTGAATTTTACCCACGGGACGCGCCCAAGAACACGGCGCTACCTATCGTCAAGACCAAGGGCGCACATTAGGAGAACATGGGATGCTTAATCAAGTGCGTGACACAAATCCGCAAACAGGACAAGGACACCAAACCGGATCAATGGGGAACGGAGAGTGCACTGGCAGGTGGGATGCTAGCTCGAAGTCCATCTGCTGCCATCACCCCCAGTCTCTCTGCCTCTATTGCCTTGTTTACCAGTTATTTTCAGTAGTTGCATCATCGCCTTGAGTCACTCGTGTGGCCCTTATTTCTACCCACCAATATGCTCACTTGCTAGACCCAAATTCACATAATCCACTGAACATCTTTTACTAGCTCATCAAAATCACAATCACCTAACTAAATCCAACCAAAACCTTATAATCCATCGTAAAATTAGGTCAAAAGATCATCATCATCACCGAACTAAATCCAAATTGTTTCAAACTAATTAAATATTTGTTTATCCACCAATATAATAATCACCATGCTCATTTATTAGACCTAAAATCGCATAACCCATCAAACATCTTTGATTATCTTCTCAAGACACAATCACCTAACTAAATCCAACTAAAATCTCATAAATCACAGAGAAATTTAGTTCAATATCACAATCACCTAACAAAATCCAAATTGTTCAAGTTAAGTAATACATCGAATATCTTTGACTATCTCCTCAAGATCACAATCAACTAACTAATCCATCAAAAAGCTCATAATCCACCATAAAATTGGTTCAAGATCACAATCGCCTAGCTAAATCCAATTTTTTTCCAAGTTTATAAAAAATATATTTATCCATCAATATAATAATCAAGATGCTCACCTATTAGACCTAAATTCACATAATCTACCTAACATCTTTTACTAGCTCGTCAAGATCCCAATCACCTAACTAATTCTAATCAAACCTCATAATCCATCCTAAAATTTGGTTAAAATCACAATCACCTAACTAAATCCAAATTGTTCCAAGCTATATTAAATATCTGTTTATCCACCAATATAATAATTACCATGCTCATCGACTAGACCTAAAATATCATAATCACCGAACATCTTTGACTATCCTCTGAAGACACAATCACCTAACTAAATCCAACTAAAATGTCATAAACCACCAAGAAATTTGGTTCAATATCACAATCACCTAACTAAATCCAAATTGTTCAAGATTAATTCATCCACCGAACATCTTTTACTATTTCCTCAAAATCGCAATCAACTAATCAAATCCATCTAAAATCTCGTAATCCACCATGAAATTTGGTTCAAGATCACAATCGCCTAACTAAATTCAAATATCTTCAAGCTTATTAAAGATCCATTTATCCACCAATGTAATAACCATCATGCTCGCTTACTAGACATATTAATCCACCGAACATCTTTGACTACCTTGTCAAGATCACAAGCACCTAACTAAATCCAACCAAAACCTCATAATCCATTGTAAAATTAGGTTAAAAGATCACAGTCACCTACCTAAATCCAAATCGATCCAAACTAAATTTTAAATATTTGTTTATCTACTAATATAATAATCACCTTGCTCATTTACCATACCTAAAATCTCATAATCCACTGAACATTTTGACTTTCTTCTCAAAGACTCAATCACCTAACTAAATCCACCTAAAATCAAATAAATCACCGAGAAATTTGGTTCAATATCACAATCACCGAACTACATACAAATTGTTCTCATCGACTACAAGGCGCCTACGATGACTTCGTAAAATCTCAAGATGATATGCCGGCTTAGTCTCTCGGAGGTGCTCATAGCGGTAGGGTGTGCGTGTGTGCGTTCATAGGGGTGAGTGTATGCACGTTTATATAGCGCTTGCGCTTGTACTGTGTTCAAAAAAATATTAATTAATCCACCGAACATCTTGGACTATCTTCTCAAGATTTCAATCAACTAATTAAATTCATTTAAAATCTTGTAATTCACCATGAAATTTGGTTCAAGATCACAATCGCCTAACTAAATCCAAATTACTCCAAGTTAACTAAAAATCCATTTATCCACCAAATACAATAACTAGTGTGCTCACTTACTAGACATAAATTCTGACATAATCCATCGAACATCTTTGACTATCTCGTCAAGATCACAATCACTTAACTAAATCCAACCCAAACATCAAAAT